GGCTAGGGATGCGTTCCCCGAGGGACTGTGAAGGCTGAGGTCCTTGCCCTGCATGGAGAGGCAGCCGCAGCCGCTCCGGGGAAGTGCGTCGGGCTCACCGTTGCTCGAAGCGGGCCTTTCTTCCCCACTGCAGCGGAGGGGGAGTGCTACCATTGCCGCTCCAGCTCAGCCCAAGAAAGTCGTGGCCCCTACAGCGTCCCAGATCAACGCGGAGTTCGTGACCCAGTTGACATGTAAGTACTGGTCTCCCCATATCAAGAAAAAATCACCTTTTGATATCAAGGAAGGGCGAGAGAGAGAACCATCAATGTGAAAGGGAATCATCGATCTGTTTCCTTCCATACACGACCAACTGGGGATTGAACTTGCAACTTAGGTCATTGAAGATATACATGAAAAAGAGATTGTCAATTCAAGGTTTGCCATCAGAAAGATAATGCTCTTGGAATTTAGCCAGTACCCTGAAAACTACCTGTGGATGGGTTATTCTCTGGATGTCTCCAGCGAGGCCTGTCTGATGTCCATCTGTTGCCAGGTGCATGAGAGGTTCAGAGAAAATGTCCTGCGTGGGAGACTGTCAAGGAGCAGACCACTTCCCATTCTTTTTCAAGTGCATCTTGAAAGCAGCATTGGCTGAAACTGCTGGTGGATTTCACTCCATGAACAGACAGTCTTACTGCTTTTTCCTGATCACTGCTTCAATACTTTGGAAGTAGACTTGATACGAAGTCAGTACAGCAGCTTATCTCCCTCCCAATGTGGATGGGCTTACAGCCCGCACGCTTGGAATTAGAATTAAAAAAGACACCTAAGCTAAGAAAATTCTGGAACTTGATTAAAAAGAACCATGAAAAGATGGACCCAGAAGCAAGAGAACAAGCCTATCAAGAAAGAAGGTTTCTCTCCCAGCTCATCCGGAAGTTTATCTCCGCGCTGAAGTCAGTCCCACTTTCCGACCTGTTCCTACGGACAAAGTTCATTCTGTGAAAGATTCATTGAACTGATGATTGATCTAGAGGCCCTACTCCCCACAAGGCGCTGGTTTAATACCATCCTGGACGACTCCCACCTCTTGGTTCACTGCTACCTTTCCAGCCTTGTCCATGGGGACGAGGATGGCCATCTCTTTTCCCAGCTTTTGGACATGCTTCAGTTCTATACTGGTTTCGAGATTAATGCCCAGACTGGGAATGCTCTGACAGAGAACGAGATGGCTGCCATTCACTGTGACAGAATCACTTCTCTACAGGGAGCTGCTTTTGCACATTTCCCTGAACTCCATGGTTTCGCCCTCTCACATGTGGCAGAAGTAGATACTCGGGGATCCTTGGTCAAGTTCTTTGGACCTCTTAGTTCAAATACATTCCACCAGGTGGCATCGTACCTCTGCTTGTTACCAACTCTTCCTAAAACCGAAGACACAACTTTTGATAAAGAATTTCTTCTAGAATTGCTGGTATCTTGTCATGAACGTCGAATTTCTCAGATTCAGCAGTTGAACCAGATGCCTTTGTATCCAACTGAGAAAAGCGTATGGGATGAAAATATTGTCCCAACCGAGTGTTATTCAGGGGAAGGTTGTCTTGCTCTTC